AAAAAAAAAAAAAAAAAACCTGATTTTTGAAGTTTCAAACTATAAACCTTATTTTTGAATTGGTGTAAAGAATACACCTTATTTATGAATTTTTCCCCTATCTAAATTACTGGCCCAACGAGATATACAACCTAATACAAAAAATCTTTGATTTGGAAAATATTTATGCTATATTTGATCAAAATAAAATTTAGTAAATACAAGACAAAGTTCAGGACACATAAACATATTGTTTCCACAAAATGAAATATTTAGTTCATTTTTGCACAAAAAGAATTAAATTAAATTGCATATATTTATTTTCTGTAATTTATACACTTAAAATCTCCCTCCAATAACAACAATTTTGCTCCAGATTTAGTAAGGTACGCGGTTTTTTTTCAGATTCATTATGAGTAATTTATACTTCCAAGTTTATGAAAAAAAAATATTTAGGTAGTTCATCTTCCTTATTGTTGTCGAGGTTATCAAATATGCTCAAGTCTAAAATTGTAATTGGAGATTTCCTAAGTCAAAACCATATTTTAGTTGAATTATACTAAGAATTAATCGAGTTGTAATGAAAGTCAAAATAAGTTTAGTAAAGTCCAAATTAATGTAAAAAATTGTTTGGAGTTGATAGAGTCTAAAAAGAAGTCAAAGAAATCCAAGAAGAAGATTGAGATTCGGATTTGAAGAAGTTGATATAAAGAAAAACGCTTTTTCACTACCCTACCGCCCAAACCCCAATAGGCGCTTGAGAGGCAAAAGCAGAAACTCTGCCGCCCACCTAGCACTGACCTCGCGCTCGAGCAACAAGTACGATCATTCATTTGAAGTTTACTGAACTGTAATTATTTCATAGTGATCATTCATTTGAAGATCCAAAACACTTTCATTGATTTCAAGATTCAACCATCATATTATTTGATTCATAGATTCATTCAAACATAGATTTGTTGATTGAGCTATAAACATTCTACATACAACCACAGATCGAAACACAAGAGATCTTTGATCAAACGCCAAACCTACCTTCGCCAGTTAGCCTTTAGAGTTAATGGAGTATTGGGAAGAGGAGTTTGGAGCTCCGACACTAAAGAACGAGATTCGTTCTTGGAGGTTCACATGAGATAAACAATATCAGGGGTCGAGAGTTGGTACGAGGAACACGCGGTCCAAGAGTGTCAAGGTGATTACAAGAAGAAGGTCGAGGGGACTAAGAGTTAGTTGGGATTGGACCATTTTATAAGTATATCGTTTATAGTGGATTGTTGACAAACAAAATGCTCGAAGTTTTTTATCAAGATTGTCTCCGTGATCATATCGGTATTATTTACTGCTTTCTAATTACAAACTGTGGTATTTAAAATTAGGATAAATTGACTTGTTGATTTAATCATCTATAAATAATTAAAAAGCGATTCGTTGCTTTTAATTGTATAATCTCATACTTCGGGTCTAAATATTTGGTAAATTGATCTTTCAATACGAAAATTTCTTTCACCCACAATTCTATAAATCACAAAGAACCAAATAATTGCAAATTGGCGTTTCATAATTGTTGGAAAAATATGCCATATTTTTGCAAACTTTATTTATTGACTTGCTTATTAAGCTTAGTGGTTTTTAATTGTCATACTTTGAAAAATAACTTGTCAAGACCGTGAGAAGTTTTGCAAATAGTTAGTATTGACTGACTGGATGATAAGTGAATTTTCGACTAGGATCTTTAAACTATGATTTTTATAGTTTTCTATGTATATTAGGATAATTTTTGTTATAACAATTACAGCTCGTGTAGCATAGATTTTATACTATCCTAAATATTTTCAAATTTGTTTAATAGATGAATATAAAGTTAGGTTAAATTAATATCGTCTTTCTTTATTTTAGTCTATTAATAAATCTAGAAAATCTTTTTATATATTTTCCTATATGCTAATTCTTTTACCACGTTTAATGATTATTATTGGGTAGCAATTAATTCATATTTTTGATAATTTTTTTCCCTATAAGTAAGGTAATTAATCAAGAAATGAATTGAGTTGTAAAAATTAATTACGTCGTGACCTAGTAAGCAGCAGTGCAGTCGTTTTCAAGCAAGTTCACACGACGTGATACTTAATTGAACCTAAATATGAGAGCAATACAAACTTTTGAAAATAAATGTTAATTATAATACATGCACGTAAATAATGAAATGCACATTTGAATGTGAGTATTAGATTTACAACTAAATACATAAATGAAGATAGATGACAAATATGAAACATAAATTAAAATGAATGATAATTAATTTAGAATTAATAATCCCTCTGTCCCAATTATATAGGCTGGGTTTCCTTTTTTTTCTTGTCCCAAATATATAGGCATGTTTCCTAATATAGAATATTTTGTTGTATTCCTTTACCAATATATCCTTATTAAATTTTCCCCACTTAATATGTCAATTTCTTGAAATCATTCAAATACACACATNCTTAATATGTCAATTTCTTAAAATCATTCAAATACACACATTTCTCAGTTTTTGGAAACATGGAATAACTCTCATTTCTTATTCTTCTTCAAATGTTTTATTAATTCCAACAATAATTTAGTTTTACATACTGAAAATTAAATAGGGGTAAATTAGGAAAGATTTTGATAAAAATTAATTTTCCAATGACATTAAAGAAATTTTCTTAATCCGTGTGAAAAACGAAACAAGTCTATATAGTTGGGACGGAGAGAGTGCCAAAAAATATATACTCGATAATTAATGTTAAATTATTTATATTAAATGAATATAATTTAGTTTCCAATTAAGTGAAACTGTATGCTAATTAACATATATAGATGTGAATAATGAACTACATTCTTGGATATGAAATTTTAATTAATATTAATTAAATAAATATGAATGTTAATTAATTGTTAATAATAGGGATATGGAGGTGAATGTAAGAATCTAATTAATATTAATGAAATGAATGTGATTATTAATCAATTGAGAATTAATCATAGTATTTATTACATTTTGTAAATTAAATGCATATTGAAAAATGAAAAGTAATGTATTATTGAAATAATTGAATTACAGTGGAGTTATAATCGTCCAAAATATAATTTTCACTTCTGTGATATTTAATTAAAAATGATTTTTTTTTAAAAAAAATGTGGCCAAACATAGACTTAACCCTTGTTTGATTCACATTATTTTCAAAATATATTTTTCTCTATCTTCTTTTCAACCACATATTTTTCAATAAAATAATATTAAACATAAATTAAAAAAGTTACTTATTTTTTAATTACGCATTTTTCCTTAATCTACTAGTCTAAAATTCATTCTTAAATAAAATTTGGTCTCAAACACGCTTTTAATTGGCAATAAGGTTATGAGATTTTGCAGGTTAAAAACAATTGGCGGCAAAAAGATGGTACGAATGACGTGTGAAAAAGGATATGGAGTTGTTCCATCGAGCTGAATAAGCACAGTGGGGTGTAATAAAATGATAAATCTATATGTACATAATTATTGTACATAATAGACTACATAGGCCCATGTGGAAGAATTCGACCGTGAATGTGAAGAGTGAAAAAGTAAAAAATTGTAGATTACTGATGGATGCACGTCATATGTTAATTATGTAATATATTACGTAAATGATTATATACTTGTAGCATAATCCTTAATAAAAATTCTTGCTATCACTTGAAGAAATATAAAGGAAAACCTCCAATA